CTATCTGGTGGCTAAATTCAAAATTAGAGTAGATAGGTCGAATTGCTACGTCACGTGTGGGATCTCTAACACTTGGATACTCTATCTGGTGGCTAAATTCAAAATTAGAGTAGATAGGTCGAATTGCTACGTCGTGTGTGGGATCTCTAACACTTGGATACGCTATCTGGTGGCTGAATTCAAAATTAGAGTAGATAGGTCGAATTGCTACGACACGCCCCTGCCAGAGATCCCAATATGGGGGGGGGGTTATCGAGTAACGAAAGAGTTCAATAAAATTATTCAACTAAATCTGATATCAATCGATAATGTTAATTAATAATATGCAAATATTATAAATAATAAGCACCTATATACGAACGTTTTATCGACACAAACATTACATAAAATTACATTTAAATGATAAGAGAAAAAAGAAGAAGAAGAAGAAGAAGAAGAAGAAGAAGAAGAAGAAGAAGAAGAAAAAGAAGATAAAAGAGTTTACGTCAAATTCTATGCTAAATGATTGATTTAAAAGACATTTTTCAATTAAAACTAGATAATTATAGTAATTTATCATTTATCTTGTCTAATGTCAGTATAATTAATCTGTCCTATTAGGATTTATTAGATATATTATTATTATTATTATAATCATTTAAAATGTATTTAATAATTTAGTTTAGGGCATGTTTTTTTTTAGCATGAGTATCGTTTTATAATAATTCATAGTAGTACAACCCTTATATGGGTCAATTCTTTTTCATACACAAGTATATTTTATCTGAATGATCTTGTGGGTCATTGAAGTAACGAAAGAATGATTGAAATGTTAGATTAGTTGTTTGCTTTTTATTTTTAATTTTATTTCTTGTTTTTTTTTTTTTTTTTGAAGAAAATATATACAATCGATATTACGAATTTACGAAATAATTGATCTAACGAATAATCTTCATGAATAATTTTTAATCATTCTATTATACTATATATATATATATATATATATAGTATACATGTATATAATATATACAACTTACTATAGCGTGTTGATCTTTCTAATTAATAATGAACGACGACGATTACCTCTGTAATTGTAATTTCGTTTCGAGTAGCATTGTGAGAAAAAAAAAACAGTTGCATTTGGGAGCAAAGAAGCATTGTAAGAAGACTGTTTCATGTCAATTTCAATCTCAATAAGAAATAATCGAATTTAGGATGTTTCATGAATGATGATGGTTATGAATACGATGATGATTATTAATTATTATTACTGTTATTTGATTATTTTTATTATTATTATTATTATTATTATTATTCATAATTCATCAGATTTTAATGGCTAATATAATAAAATTTCGATTAAATATTCAAATATAATGTTATTTAAATTATTACTATATAGTACATTTCTGTATTTATCGACTGTCGATAATAGTAGATCCATATATTCATTAATTGTCGATTAACTAGAAAATTCTTACATTTACTGACTATTGGTAATAGTAAATTTTATATTGATGGTAGTTATGATTATGATAATGATTATTAATTATCATTATTGTTATTTTATGATTACTATTATTTATATTTCATCAGATTTTAATGGCTACTAATAAAAAAATTCCAATAAATTATTCAAATATAATGTTATGCAAATTATCATTATATAGTAGAATTCTGTATTTATCGAATGTCGATGGTAGTAGATCCCTGTGCTGATTAATCGTCGATAAACTAGAAAATTCCTACATTTACCGACTATTGGTAAAAATAAATTCTATTTTTTTTTTAATAAATTACATTTTTTATTAAATTTTTTTTTCTTTATTCTGTTAATAAATATATAAATTTTATGAAACCTAAAATAGTTTTATAACTATATAAGTTAGTAATTAATATATAAAATTGACTCTTGTTTTTAATTTTTTAATAAATTGTTTAGGATACTCGTGAAGAAAAATTGAATCTTTCTTTTCTTTTTTTTTGTCTTTTAAACTATAAACAAAAAATATATTTATAATATATATCAAGGAGGTAGAGAATGATAGTTTGTAGTAGTTTACAAACGTTTCTTATAAAAACAAAAAACCATAAGTTATTGCAAATAATTATTGACATTTTTTGTTTTGTTTCTTGTTTCTAAAATGTATCAATATACTTCATTCGACGATGCGATGAAGTATCAGGATTATTTTGGGATCTAGTATTTTCAACTATAACTTGTTTTTTCAAATCATTTGGTAAATCGTTCCATACTTCTTGCGTAACGGAATCTGAAAGAAAGAAACACGCGTTATATAATAAACAATAAATATCTATAAGAAATAATTAAAAATAAACGTCTACATTGGATAAACAATTAATAAATGATTGTTAATATTACACGGCCATCTATCGACAAAATTCGCAATCATTTATCAGTTGTCAATCAAGTAAATGAAAAATATACCTTTGCAGGTATAAAGCAAATCGGACCAAGTGATTTTTTCTTGTGAGAAACAATAAACACCAAGCCTGCCACCTTGCAAAGTGGAATCATAAATGTTTCCTGAATCGGTGATAAGTTTTTTGCCCTGATGAAGCCAAAATCTGATCAAACCAACTTGAGGTCTGTGCAAGAGGTGCCATCTGTAGGGTACCCTTTGTCTCCAACCATATTTGCTTGGTTCTCTCCATAATATTTTCATTTGGTTAGGTACGTCTTGATTATGCCAAAGACTATTTCTGAGTATTACACCTGGTCCAGTTTCCGAGTCAACGAGCCTTAGTAGGATACCAGAATCACCTATTGCACGGAACGGTGTAGTTTCCCAATATGGTTGATCAGCTTTTTTCCACGTTACCACGTAGAATCTGCGATTGCTTTGGCAAGAAAATACGAAACCAACGTAATCGTCGTCGTTGTCGTCGTCCACGTAAAATGTACCCTCGAAATCAACTCCGGCAAAAACGTCGGGTCCTAAAAATAATCAAATAATAATATTAGGGTGAATCGGGGAGGGGGGGATTCCCTTTAAAAGTAAAAGTACAATTTGATTGATTTCACAAAAAATTGCAACTCAATAATAAATATACAATTTAATCATGAAATAATTGACCTATGGCAAATCCAGGATCGCTGTTAAGGGTTTGTTGTATTTCAGCACCATTGTGACGTATTATCCAAGATGGATCTTCTTGGGAATCACCGCTAGGATCTAAATTGATGGTAACGTATTTACGAAAATCCGTAGTCCATATTTGACTATTGTTGGGACAATTGTCGAGATAATTGATGACTGTATCGTTGTCATAATCGTTCCAACAAAGATCACCTATACCATCCTTGTTAATATCCTCTTGATATGGATTATAAACGAACGGACAATTGTCACGACGATTTTTGACACCGTCACCATCGATGTCATCGTCACAAGCATCACCAATCCTATCGCGATCTATATCACCTTGGCCAGGATTAGCAACGTTGGGACAATTGTCACGATCGTCTTGTATGCCATCCAAATCCCGATCGTTGTCGTTGTCGCACAAATCACCAACGTTATCACCGTCCCGATCGTTTTGATCAGGATTAGGCATGTAAGGACAATTGTCGCATTTGTCACCAATTCCGTCGTTGTCGGTATCGATTTGATCGTTGTTCCTTATCTTTGGACAATTATCCAAACGATTTGAAATGTCTAATGGGAAATAAAAAAAGAACACAAGGTTTAGAGCCTAACGGGAAAGTTAAAGTTGAATAGTTTTGAATTTAACATATTGAATGCCACGGGGGGTCACCGGTGACCAGCGTGCTCTCATTAATAGAAATATATTCCATATCTTGGCGCCACGAGCACTTGTTAATACGAGGAGGGCGCCACTGTTAGGTTGAACCCCTCGAACTATGAAATTCATTGGAAAACAATTAGTACGTACCATCATTGTCGATATCATCGTCACAGGCATCACCAATACCATCCCCATCGGTGTCCCATTGACGTGGATTGTTGTCATATGGACAATTGTCGCATATATCACCAATACCATCGGATCCGTCACGATCGTTGTCTCCCTGGCTTGGATTACGTACCCAAGGACAATTGTCCGATGAATTTAATATACCATCGTTGTCGGCATCTTCGTCGCAGGCATCACCTATACCATCTTTATCAGCATCCTCCTGACCACTATTAGGTACCAAAGGACAATTGTCCATTCTACAGGAATGACCGTGACAATTTAAGGTTTTATCAGGGACACCATCGCTGTCGGTGTCCAATCCACAATAGTTTCCATTTCCAGCCCAACCGACTCGACACTGAAATTGATATACAGGTAAATCTTTTGATTGAAATCTTGTAACCATGGTTTTATTATAATATGAATCATAAATTGCGAAAATCTTGGATTACAGCACTGTATTTCTACAGCAATGGATAACACGATGGTTGCAAAAAGTTGCTTAACTTAAAAACTAATTTACCTTAAAAAATAATGAATTCTAACAGGGTATTTTTTAGGAACCTATCTACACCTTGTTATAGAAGGATTACTTGTATTTTTCTTTTTCTCATTGTTTTTGTTAAATCATATTTACCCGACAGGTGTAATCGTTCAAACTTATGCATACGCAATAAGCATTTAAATCACAAATGGTCGACATGTCCGGACAAATTTCTTGACTAGGACGACACCCTGTTGTCTCATTGCCGACAAAACCATTCCTACAAGGTTCACATCTGAAAGAACCCTGAAAAATCAATCAGAAAATTTCGTCAAGGTTAATCCAATTAAATAATTAATAATAAACATATGTTTTTATACGTACTTCTGTATTAATACATTCAGAATGTATGTCACATCCACCATTATTAATCTCGCATTCGTTAATATCACGACAGATTTGTTTTTGACTCCTGATCATTTCAATACCAACACCTTCGAACGATGGACCTGTGTATCCTGGTGGACAGGATTCACACCTGAATCCAGGACGTAGATTGATACATCGTACACCGGGAAAACATGGACGTTCTACCTCGCATTCGTTCAAATCTTGACATGATGTACCATTACCTGTTAAACCAGCTGGACAACTTCCGCATCTGTCACGAAGACAAATTTCAATTGGACTGTAGTAAATATTTTTATTTCATTGTTGTTTCATTTTTTTATTTGTTGATTAATCAGTTAATTGTAGCATTAGATTCGTATGATAATTCAATTAATTGATTAATTCATGTGAATTACAAATATTTTAGGTTATCTAAGGTTCCCAAGTATCCTAGGTTATCTAAATGGTGGATGATTCGTTTTTTTGGCGGGTAATTTTAATTTTTACCTAAAAAATGGCGGGTATTTAGTAGAAATGCATTCAACTTCAGTATACACGAATGAGACTGCATTGAATACTTTTATTACACTGTTATTTATTTATTTTTTTTTTGATTAATCAATTAATTATTTAACTGCGTAATATTAATTAAAATACAAACATTTTAGGTTACCTAAATGGCGGGTAATTAGTTGGAATGCATTCAACTTCAACATACACAAATAAGATTACATTGAATACTTTAATTATATTGTTATTTATTTTTAAATTGTTAAATGGAATTTGTACGATAATTCAATTAAATGTTAAATTAATTTAAAACAACAAATATTTTAGGTTACCTAAAAAATGGCGGGTAATTAGTTGGAATGCATTCAACTTCAGTATAACATGGACGAGTTTCGCAACTGTTTCTTCTACGTTCGCAACGTTCACCATTACCGTGATAGCCATTTGGACATTTGCCGCATCTAAATAATTACAAATAAAAATTAATTAATTATAACTAATTATATTATAATAATGATAAGTGTTAATTAACACTATCATTTATTATATTGGGTCTACAAGTAATTTTAATGATTTATTATAAATATTATTTTTTAATGATGTATTTATTATTATAGGTTATGTTAAAAGAAAATATATATGTATATAACCTATAACCATGACGATGATCCTCGCAACGTACACCAGGGAAACATGGATTGTCCAAACAAGTTGTTATCTTCAAACAATTACGACCATCACCTGTCATACCTCTTGGACAACTACCACAAATTGGTCCCCTTGATGAATCATGACACTGAGCTCCAGGATAACATGGTGATTGGTAGTTGCAGGATATTGGTCGTGGTGTTGTTGTTGTTGTTGTTGTTGATACTATTGGAGGAACCATCACCGCTCAGGAGAGACAAAACGCTTAACTTGTTGATTATAAATCTCATCACACACACAAAAACTCTATTTATATATAATTATTAATAATTCTTCAACGAAACTTCATTTTCATTTATATATATATATATTATATTTATTTATTTATTTTTTTTTAATTATCATTCATTTTGTGATGAATACTTTTTTTCATTTTGAGAAAAAAAATTAATCAATTGTTTGATTTGCGTGTTTTGTTTATTATAATAATATGTGAAATAATGAAAGAGAACTTTAATTAATTAAAATAATTTTTTTAGAATTATTTGAAATGAAAAAAAGAAACAAAAATGATTGTATCGAGCATTGTTTATTAACGTGTGTTAAATTATTATAGTAAAATTCTTCAGTTTTTTTTTCTTTTTTTTTTTTTTTTTATCTCCATGATGGAGCCTTCGAGTGCAAAGGGTTAAATTATTATGTAGTTCTATTTTTTTTGGAAAGTTTAAAAAAAAATATGAAATAAGACTCGAGAGAAAGTTTGGTTAATCTTTTATCTCGTTTATCTATCAATCTAATTATGATATATATGTATATATGAATATATATATACATATATATATCCTACTACATTTGTCTATGTTTTTGAACTATTCTAACAATAAGATAATAATTCATACATCACGTGTGTCTTATACGAAACACTTCACTCACCGACCAAACCTTGACGACAAGCCACACAATTTTCGATTAGCATTCTTAATTCTTGTGTCTCTCTTCTCTACAAAAATTGATTAAACAAACAAAAAGAAATCATTAGGAATAAATAATGTATTAGATTAATTAATATTATTATTATTATTATTATTATTTAATTATTTCTCTCCGATTTCTAGGGCATATTAGCGTGTCAGACAGGCCTTTTGCCAGGTTTGACAGCTTTAATCTTCAGAATTTACGAAGGCTCTTGTTATGTTGCATGTTTTTAATATAACCGTCTTTTGTATTTCTTGGTGTATGTTTGGGTCTAGTTGTAGTTGTGTGAGATGTGATTTAAAATTATTCGGTGTAATGCCTGTTGCTGATATGATGAAAGGGATGATGTGTACCTTTTTTTGTTTCCATATTCTGTGTATTTCTTGTGCAAGTGGTGTGTATTTTTCTATTTTTTCTCTGTATTTCTGTGTAATGTTGATGTCGTTTGGTACTGAGATGTCTATTAGGTATGTTGTCTTGTCTTCTTTGTTTGTAAATGTGATGTCCGGTCTGTTGTATTTTACTGTTTTGTCTGTGTGTAATGTTGTGTCCCAGTATAGTTTGTACTTTTCGTTATCTATTATTGTAGTTGGTGTGTATTTGTAGTATGGTGTTGTAGTGTTCTCCAGTTTGTATTTGTTCACTATTGCTTTATTTATGATTTTTGCTGCGGAGTTGTGTCTTTCCGTATATTCGGTGTTTGCTAGTATTTTACAACCCCCTGTTATGTGTTCTATTGTTTCGGGTACTAATTTGCATTTCTGGAATTTGTCATCTTGTATGTTTATATCTTTTATTATGTATTTGAGGTAGTTTTTTGTTGAGATTACCTGATCTTGTATTGCAATTAGGAATCCTTCGGTTTCTGGGAAGAGGTTTCCTTTTTTTAGCCATTCGTATGTGTCGTTGTTGTTTATATTTTCGTCTGTAGTGGTGTAGTAGTGTTTTCCGTGTAATTGTTTTGTGGCCCATGCGTTTATTTTGCTTTGTGTATGGTCTATGTTGTTATAGTTATCTATGTCTGTATTGCTTGTCGATAGATTTAGTGGTGTGTGGTTTTTATCGGTTTTCGTTATTGCTTTATGTAGTTGTGTCTCTTTTGTGTGAAAGTATTTACGTAAGTTTTTTATTTGTCTATTGTGTAACGCTTTTATGTCCGTTATTCCCCTACCACCTTCTTCTCTACTTATTGTTAATCTTTCTACACATGATTTCGGGTGTAGTTTTAGTGACTTTGTCATGTGTGTTCTTGTTATTATTATTATTATTATTATTATTATTACTATATGGGCCGCCTATTTTGAAATTAGCCTAACTCCATTATTTTCTGGTTACACGTGGTTATTGTAAAACTTTATGTTATTTATCAATAAAGCATTTGAGGTTGCTTATATTTCGAGTAAATATCATAATACTTTATTGTAAATAAAATGAAACAAGAAAATTTTGTATTAACAAAATAATGAATTCTGATGAAGAATCAATAAACTGGTTAACAATATGTTGGATGTGTTTTGTCAGAAATGAACTGTATCAATTTTTCTATAAGATATCAATGAGAATGAGAATGAACATTTAAATGTCCTGAATTTATTATCACATCAGGGTAGATCAAGAAAGTTCAAAAATACTGTATTGACATCAGTATATAAAAATGTCAGACAAATTTCAACAGCAAAATTCAAGGACATAATTGACCTATTACGATATATATCACTGGAACATCATAATTTCTTCAAATCCTTTGTACACACACAAAATGTAGATGAGTAGTCAATTGTTTTGTAGGTTATGTTTGTAATTTTGTACGGTATGTAGTTAAAAAATGTTTTAAATCACATAAATTATGTTTCTGAAGTGTTTAAAAGATATGTAAAATAAATTAAGTATTGTTCTTTTTAATTTGAAGCATCTTAAATTATGTTGAATGGAGTTGGGTCCCTTCGAGATTTTGTTATAAATCTGGTTGTTAATTTTGAAAGTAGCCTAACTCTATTTGTGATAAGAAAACGCATATTATTCATTTAATAATTGTCAGCATTTTAATAGGAACTATAAATTGAATATCTTTACATACACTTAAGCAGAGTATGACTTGTTAGTATCTCTAGTTTTAATTGCATTGAAACTCAAACAATTAAATATCTCGATTTGAACATAAATGGAGTTAGGTCAATTTTTTTTAAATAAACGGCTCATATCAATAAACATTAAAAATATTTTGAAACAACTCACATTCATCTCGAGTTCGTTCCAAATTCTTTTCGTAGCTTGAATAAGTTCGTTCAAAGTTTTAGTTAATTGACCGTCCGTCAAGCAAACTGAAAAAAAAGTAAAAAAATAATAAAATTCTAATGAAAAAAAGGAATTGAAATAAACATTTAAAAATACTTACTTTTTTCATCCAAACTTTGTATTCCAATGTCACCCCTTCTGACATTTCTTTTGTGTGCAACCGATGAAGAAGATTCGAATGATAAATTGGAATGATTAAATTCGTACGATCCTTTTTTAATTCGATCCTTATTATTATTATTATTATTGTTATTATTAGACGAGATATCAATGTCCAATGAAAAATTATTATCAAATAAATCTGATGAACTATCGAGAGACTTTGAACATTGTTCATTTTTCAATATCTTGTTGATGGAATCCTCACGATGAACTTTTATTTTACATTTGTTTTCTCGAAACTGTTTTGAAAAAAATCAATTAACGATAAATAAAATACAGAAAACTGTATACAAAAACAAAATGAGATAAGACATTATTAAATAAATAAAAGAACAATACTAAGAAATAAAACAAAAATCAAAAATACATTAGTTTCCTCGAAACTGTTTGGACAAATAAATATATTGGATTGTTCGGAAAGTAATGTCGTTTTTTTTTCTGACACAATAATGGCATTATTAGTTGATGCAAATCGGCAAATAGCAACACATGAGATCGAGATGAGAGGTTAAATTAATCAAATTCAACGATTTATGACCACTTGAAAGACTTAGGTTTAACCTCGAAGCAAAAATTGTCTTTATTTTTATAAAAAAAAAAATGAAATTACTTTACGAACAACCCAATACAATAAATAAAATACAGAAAATTGTATACAAAAACAAAATGAGATAAGAAATAATTAAATAAATAAAAGAACAATATATGATAAATACTAAAAAAAAAAAAAAAAACAGTAAAAATTATATTTGACAGACAAAAATACGAAACCCAAAAACTAAAAGAGAAATGAAAAGAAAAGTAAAGAAAAGAAAAAACAGTAACAAATATAAATGAAAATATTTCATTGTTATTTAAAAGTTGAAAGTATTTCAAGTTTTAGTTAAAGAATGTTGGTATTGGTATTGGATTTGAAATAGTCGTTGGGGATCAACAACTACGTAATAAAAGCGAACGACTCGATTCTTGATGGCCATATTTAGAAACGTGTCGTCCCACACGGGACTCGTATTGCCGATCACAGTTGATCGTCGTTAACGTCATCGAAAAGGAAGAAACTTTCAAACTACTTTCCTATACACTTTTATCAACTATTTTATCTATCTTTTTATCCATTCGTTTATAATATTTATGATTTATTCAACATATTCAATAATAAATTCATAAATACTAAATTTTATATTTAAACGAGGGTAGTGGGTGTCTGTGTATGTCTATGTGTGTGTGTGTGTGTGTGGTTGGATGATGGTTTTGAATTAATTCGATGTATTTTCTTTTCTTTTATATTATTATGATTATTTATTTTTGTTTTTATATTGAATTATTTATGATTGTATTAGATTTTTTATTTAGTTAATATAATATTATGAAATATTAATTTATATTATATTATTATTTTATATTTATATGTATATGTGTGTTATATATTTAATATTATATAAATATAAATTATAAATATAATAATATATAATATATTTATAATAATATTATTATATATATATATATATATATATATATATATATATTGAAATATAAAATAATACAATTGAATATTATATATTTATTAATTATATAATTATATTAAACAAAATTCTATATTTTAATATATATTATTAAATTATTTAAAAAAAAAATCTGTATTATTAAATGATAACAAGTGTTTTGGAAAATAACGAATTTAAACAAATGAAAAACAAATTTTGTAAGCAAAAAATATATATTAAGTGGTTCGGAAAGTCGTATTGTTTTTCTTTTGTAAAAATGAAGATAATTTTTGCTTCGAGGTTAAACCTAAACCTATCAAGTGGTCATAAATAATTGAATTTAATAAAATTAACCTCTCGATCGATCTCATGTGTTACTATTTGTCGGTTTGCATCAACTAATGCAACCATTATTGTGTCAGAAAAAAAAACGAAACGACTTTCCGAACCATCTAATATAATTGAAACTTTTTAACTCACCCTTGTATATTTAATTTTTATTTATTCAATTAAACAATTCATTTTTATATTTTTTATTGAATAAATCAATTAATTTTGTTTCATTCAATTTATATTCAATTAAAATATTAAGTAATTAATAATTATTAATTCAATTAATTATTATTTTTTTCTTTTTTTTTTAATTTAGAGGTTAATGAGAAATTTCGTAATCTAAATATGAAATTATATACCTAACCTCAATTTATAAAAGTATTAATATTATTAAAATGATGTTTGTTTCATACCACTTCGATGGAGAAAATATCCTCCTCCGCGGTAAGTTCTCGAAAATTTTTTTTCATATCTATCGATCCTTGATAATTGCAATCGATGTAAACATCGATACGAGATTCCGATTGTTTTTGATCCACGTAAATAATTAAATTTTTTAACGATCCGTACAAATTATCAACGGTTATGTGTTTGGTAGTACGTCGACCATTGGAATGTAAATTTTCCAAAATAACTGCAATTGAAAATAAAAATGACACTAAACAATTTGATATTTGCTTTTTTTTTGTATCACCGGTTATATTAAATTTATAATTATTATTTATGTTGTTTTATTGTTTTTTTTTTGGAATTAAAATTAAGTAAACTTACCACGATTCGTACGCCTGTCAAGCATCAGAACAGTTTTTTTATTTGATTCGCCATATTTAATTGCCAATAAGGGTTCTGCTTCTGTATTAGGTTTTTTTCTCGTTCTAATGTCATTGACAACGATTATGAAATTGTCGTCGGCAAAAGAGTCTTTTAAACTTTTAGCTAATTCTTTAAAAAAAATAAAAAATATATAAATTTATATAAGAAAAATAAAAAACAAAAAATATAATAAAAAGAATAATTATGTACTTTAAATAATAATTATTATTATTATTATACAAGATTTTCTTTTTGACTTATTTTATATTATAGTATATATATATATCTTGTTGAAATAATTATAATTATATAAATTAATAATTTTATAGAGAATATTTTTATAATATGTTAAAAATAATTTAAAAAAAAAAAAAGAAGAAAAATTGCATTATTAAATAATTACAATATTATATATTTTTTAAATAATTCTAAATATTTATATAAGTAAATAATAATTATAGAATACTTTTATATGTTAAAAATAATTTAAAAAAAAAAAAAGAAAAGAAGAACAATAATATTATTAAAAAATTGTAGATATATATTTGAGTAATTGTAATATGTTGTTTAAATAATTCTACATATTTATACAAATTAATAATATTTGAAAATAATTGTATACGTTATATACAAAATTAAAATATAAAATAATTCTAAATATATATTTAAATAATTATAATATATTTTTAAAAATAATTCTAAATATTTATATAAATTAATAATATTCTAAAATATTATTATATAATGATTAATAATTTGAATAGAAAATCTATTAAACGTGTTATGAAAATTGTATGAACGTTCAATTAAAATCAACTAACCATGAAATCTATAAACGAATTTTTTCAACGAACCATTAATAATTTAACTTGATCAATTGATTAGAAAATTTACTTTGATAAATATCCCTTTTTATCAAGGATAATTCAAGGATAATGGATAATATAAACGTGATAAAAGAACTAATGATTTATTTCAAATAATTTCAATTCATGATCATTTTAATTCATTGATTATAAAAAAATTATATTACAAAGATTATTTAATTTAAAAAAAAAAAAACAAACGAAAACTATTAAAATCTATCAAATCAAACATTCGTATTTTTAAGTATAAATAATCAATATTAAAATAATTATTATAATTATTTTAAAAAATCATTCAACTTAAAAAACAAAAAATAACAACAAATTAGCAAATAAAACATTCGTATTTCAATGTACAAATAATTAATATCAAAATAATTATTATATAATTATGTAAAAAGATCATTTAACTTACAAAAAAAAAAAAAAAAAAAAAATCAAATAAAACATTCGTATTTCAATGTACAAATAATTAATATTAAAATAACTATAATATAATTAAATAATTATTTACCTTTANTAAAATAATTATTATAATTATTTTAAAAAATCATTCAACTTAAAAAACAAAAAATAACAACAAATTAGCAAATAAAACATTCGTATTTCAATGTATAAATAATCAATATTAAAATAATTATTATAATTATTTTAAAAAATCATTCAACTAAAAAAAAAAAAAAAAAAAACAAATTAGCAAATAAAACATTCGTATTTCAATGTACAAATAATTAATATTAAAATAACTATAATATAATTAAATAATTATTTACCTTTATCTTCGGTCAAAGTGGCATTGGAACAAACGACAAATATTATTGTAAAATTAATCAATATTAATAATAATAATTTATTAATCCTTAACAAATTCATCTTTAATTTTTCTTCCTCTTCTTCTTCTTCTTCTTCTTCTACTTTTTCTAGCACATCTAATAATCGTTTAATATATTTTGTTGTTTGTTTGTTTATTTGTTTGTTCGTAGTTTTGTTTTAGATGTATGTAAAAAAAAAAAAAGGAAAGAAAAAAAAAAAGATGATAACTATGATGACAACACTTAACGATTAGATGATTCACACTACATTGAAGTAATAATACGCAAACACACAATTAACTAACTTTAACGAATTCTCTTTTCATTCGATTTATCTCCGAGACTGAAGCACAGAAACGTAGAAGCAATCGTTTTATACCTCGCCCACACTCTTCTTAAGGAATCATCAACCATTTACTGCAACTCCTCTTACTTCGGTTCTCTATCAATCGATGATATCAATCTTTTTTTTTTCTATTCTAATTCGCGGAATTTCATTACAAAATAACGATTCATGTTGATTATTATTAATTGTGATTGATTTCATTTATTCCATTTGATTAATTATTATTATTATTCATTTCGTTTGATAATCATTATTCATACTATTATCTTTTTTCTTTTTCTTTTTTTTTTTTCATTTGGTTTTTCATTTTATTAGCATTAACATTTTTTTTCTTTTTTTTTTTTTTTAATTATTATTTCTATTAAAATTGTACTATTTATTTGTAATACTATTGAAGTGAACATTTCTTTAGAATGGGCGTGATTTGAAAAAAAAAAAAATGAAACGTTCTGATGTGGTGGAAAAAGGAAACGGACGATGTAGTTGGAGAAAGAAACGACCTTAATACTAATGTAAGTAAGAATTCGTCTCATTATCTCGAAACATAGTTTTTAAAAAGGTTTCACTTTTAAGGGGGGTGATTTGAAAAAAAAAAAAATGAAACGTTCTGATG